TTGAGTTGAAAGGAACCCTTAAAGGCCATCTAGTCCAACTCCCCTGCAATGAACAGGGACACCCACAGCTTAGTCAGGTTGCTCAGAGCCCCATCCAGCCTGACCTTGATGTCTCAAGAACTGGGCATCTGTGGGTGTTCCTTGGTACTGCTTAATTTACTAGTGTAGAAATAATCTAGAAATCTTTCCATCAGAGCCTGTAAACTTCAGACTGGCTCCACAGATGTTTAATACATTTTGTTTGTTCAGCTTTGGTAGAGTACCAAGACCCTACGTACAATCTGCTGCTGTAGTAAGAAGGAATTAACAAATGGGAAAGAATTGAGAAAAGAGCATCAAAGTGATTGAAAAACAAAGAAGACTATCTTGTGAAGAGTCAGATAACTGTTAGCACTCGAGAAGTTTAAACACCAAAGGGGAAGAAGAATTATTTGCAGGGTCCAATAGAGTTTTACTAGGTGTTAAGAGCTGAGAATGAGTAAGGGAACTTCAGCAAGAACAGAAGGAAGCATTTCATCAACGCTGAAGTCTGCTGGACTGTGAAATAGTCTCCCAAAATAAATGGTGGCAGTCCTACAGCTCAGGTCATTTTAAATTAGACTGGCCAAAATACATGAGCGGATTCTTTAGGGAACAACTCAATATCACAGTGATGGCCATATCAACCTCACAGGCAGCTCCCATGGTCATGATAATTAGGCTCCACAGCGCTGTTCCAAAAGGAGAGAGTTTGAAGAGTTTGACACTCGCATGGCAGCAGATCTTTCATGTACGGTGCCTGCCATGATATCATGCTATTTATACATTACTTTGAGTTGAAAGGTCTGTGTGAAGAGACAATCAGAGCCTTCATAAATCAACCCCCTGGATTATCAATGCTGATGAAACATAGAAAATAGCTTGCATTAAACCTTCTAAACTGCTAGTATCAGTGAGAGATTTTATTGAAAATACCCCTCAGCAAGAAATTACATGTAGTAATGAGTGAACAAGGAACATGTTTAAACTAACAAACACACAAACACATGCTGACAGACTCTGTGGAGTTGTTTTTGTTTGCTTTTTTTTTTTTTATTTTATCTTCTGTCTGGTTCCAAAAGCTTGACTGACAGGGTTAGATGCTGGCATCTATCATTTCTCTTCAAAACAGATAGGAAATGAACATTAACGTTTCTCAAAGCCAATCCAGGGGAAAGAGGGTTTCCTAAAAATAAAAGCATCCCACACCTATTGCCACAGTTTATTCAACTCATCTTTGCCAACAGAAATACCAGCTAAAATGAACTTCTGTTGTTTTCTTTTGCTTTCTCCAGGATGAGAATGATGGTTATAAACTGTGAGGAGGTGTTCTCCACCTATACTCACTTCCCACAGTTTAGCAAAGCATCACCAGAGAGCATCAACTCTCATGCACTGATGACCATATATAGCTGGAGAAAACTGTGCACGATCTTCTATCAGCCAAGTTAATGCCTCCTCACATGTCTTGACCTCCAGCCCCTTCACCATCTTTCTAGCCCTCCTTTGGATACTCTAATAACTTTATGTCCTTCTTACATTTCAATGCCCCAAACTGCATACAGTGCTTAAAGTGAGGCTGCACCAGCACAGTGCAGAGTGATATAATCCCATCCTTCATCCACTGGCAGTGCTGGGTGTGATGCTCTCCAGGGTCTGGTTGGCCACATCAGCAGTCCAGAAACCAGAGGAGTGTGATTTCAGAGTGCTATAGGAAAGGAAGAAGCATTATGAAGGGGGTTTAATGACTTGATGGCTACTCCAAGAAGTGCTGGTAGTGTTTGGTTTCTTCTCCTCTCAATCTCTGATCATCTCTAGAGAAGCTATGTCTGAATGGGAAGGATCACCAGAATCACATTCTTCTGAATCAATATGACATTTAGCACCTTTCTTCCGTGGGTCTTTCCAGTCGTCAGGCAAAATTCCTCATTCAGGTTTTAACTCCTCCCAGGTGCCAGTGAAAAGCATGGGGGGCTAAATTATCTATATTTGCTATGGCAGGACTTGTGCCAACACTGAGCACTGACACTGCACATTACTGTTCAGCTCATGTATTTCTGATGGCAAATTTTACAGTGCTATATATAAGGTTGTTATGGCATCTATTATTCACTGCCAATACAGTTCAAGTTAAAATAGGTTTTATGTAACAGTTCAAAGCAATATTTTAAGAGATAACACTTGTGTCAAGGCTGCTGTGTCCTACCAGATTTTGACATTTCCAAGCAATAAAAATCTCTATCCAAAATGTAAGGTTTTGGCAAGACATCTCCTTAGCAGACTTCTCTATTTTTAATCTGCAAGCAATAGCAAAAGAGTTACATTTAAATATAAAACGAACAGCCAGCTGAACTTCTGACATGGCTATTACCTTTCTACGTGCCAACTGTGAACTCTGAAAAGTGCCTCAAGAGATGTTCATGACAGAGAACACAGTCCCATTAACCTGAACCTCCTACGAGATTCTGGAGATGTGAAAAACACACAAGTGGGAAAGAGCCATTGGAACATTAAGAAGATGACTATGGACACAATTTAGTATCTCCTTTCAATAACACAAGATGGGAAGGGAACTTGTTTCCTTGTTCCTTTAGTAACGCAAAAAAGGTTTTATATCTGTTCTTCCAAGAAGGACAAATTCAATGTCTCCCTAAGAAAAGGCCCAGCACTGGTAGCAGTATCATAAGATTCTCTGAAGCTAAGTGCTAACCTGAGTATCCCAGAAGACATGATGTTCTTGTAGTGTTCTGTGACTTCTACTGTGCTGCTTGTCCTACACGTTTCTGGTGGTAGGCACTCAGAAAAGTATAAATTCCAGTAAGACCCAACAATTTGCATAGAATACATTTTGCACTACTCTGTTCTTCATTCAAGTCCCCAGAGAGGACAGGAGAACAAATGCTATACATCATTTTGGTGATAAATTTAGTTTATTAGTTGGGCTGGACAGCTAAGGACTATGTACTTCCTTATAGCCTTCTTGGTTAGTTACTGGTTTTGAAAACATACTGGTAAAAAATAAGTTGTAAGAATGACTTTGAGCTCAATGAGCCCCTTCTCTGTATACCAACCACTTCTAATGAAATCCTGGAAGATTTAATGTGCAAGATGAGTCCTTTCAGGAAAAAACATTCATATGGGTTGGCAAACAGAAAAACAAAACCCATATAAAATGACTGAAAAGCATCATCTGCTTATTCAAATACAGCAGAAGAGAGGCATGATGCAGTCCAAAAAATCCATTTCATGCTTTCTTCCTGAGGAGAAATATTTGAACTGCATTTGAAATAAGGTATGTGGAATGCAGTTCTGCTTACTGGATGAACAGGGATCTGAGAGAGCAAAACAAAATGGATGCAGCTATCATGGAGATAGGGAAAAACTGCAAGTAAAAGCAAAGTTCATGCATTCTTAGAAGAATATAGAATATAGAATATGTATATATATAATATGTATATAGAATATAGAACATCACTAACTACAGAAGTAGAGTAAGTTGTTTGGAGGATAATTAATAATCAGACAGAAAGATAAGTAGAGCCATTGGAAAGCATGTCCATCGAAATAAGGAGACACGACTACACCTCTTAATTTTACAAAGATGGTGTGACTGAGACTGGCTTAGAGTTTGTCGTTCTCCATTATCTAACAGGCAAGCTCTAAATATTTTCATGTTTGTTTTTCGGGGGAGGAAAGAGAAAGGCAGTGACTATATTTTCAACAAAACAATCACAATAATATCTTTTGTATCCAAAAAATCACTGCAGAAATATCACTGCACGCATTCATCTTTAGCATCACAGCGCAGGATCATCCCAAAATGTGCATCTTCTTGCAACAAAGTTCCCTGGAGATTTTACCTAGTGGATGCACAGAAACTACCCCAGTATGGGGGTCAAAATCACGTTCAAAGATACTCAACGTGAGGATATTTCACAATTTCACCTTAGAAATGCACACAAATGTACAACACTCAATTATGCCTATTCAGCAAACCATAACAGAGATTAAACATACCCGAACCTTGATCCAATCTCGTAAAATTATCATATTTCTTATTTAAAGCATTAACTCATGTGTAGCTATCACTGTGTGAAAACAGAGGTCAGACCCTCAGAGCACTGGTCTACAGCAGGAACATTTGTCCTCTTTTACCTCTCCTAACTCAATCACAACTCCTGCTACAGTGCAACCAAAATCCATTCTGATAAAATTAGCTCAATCCCATTAAAAGACAAAGAATAGTCCTTAATTAAATATTCTGATTTATTCTCAAGCCCACTTTGCTGGTTCATCTTGAGTTCAGGCCTGTAAAAGCATACAAATTAGAAAAAAAAAGTTCTAGGTTTTATTCATTTATTACTTACATTTGAGTAACAAGAGTTTCCCAACACACAAAAAGAAAAGTATAAAAAGAAAAATGTGGGATGTTTAACTCATTCAGATCTCTTTTTGTTCCTTTTACCATATTATATTTATAGCACCTCCAAGGAAAAAAGTGAACAAAAATAGTATGAGTCTTCTTTAACCTATGTAAAGAACATCCGAATACTTTAATAAAGCAATAATTCTTGAAAACCTGAAGAAGTTACTTAAATTATTATTCTCTCTAATGGTAAAGATGAATAATTTCTGTCCATCACAGATTTGAGTCTGAAGTTTGCACACACGAGGAAAGTCATTTCACTGCGGAATGAAGTTCAGTAAAGTAAATCACTACAGATCATTATGAAAGAGGAAAACACTAACCAAGGAAAACTGATTATTTCTTGCCATTTTTATTTTTGGTCATGCTAATTATTGATTCTTCCTTCAGACAAGCACCTTCATTTTTAGAATAGCATAATAATCTCTCCTATATCTAGTGATACTATACAGACAGCCGCATAAATAAGCATTTCTTTTGTTCATGTTGAGCAATGCGAAACACAAGATGTCTGCACTTTCAGTTGGTAAGACCATGACAGGAGAAAGTTACTGACCTCAATCTGCTGAATGGCCTCCTCCCGCTGACGGATGGCCTCCAGATCCTCCTCTGTGATTTCCGAGAGCAAGGCTCGATCCTGACTTTGGTTTTGCCACGTGTCATCTCCTCCATTAAAGATCTTCTCATCATCAGCTAGGTCAGAGAAGGGAGTCCTAGGGCTCTGCTCAGATGGAAGAATGAGAAGAAAGCAAAGGAAGCGTAAATCTTCTTTAGTTATATATACATATGGCCTTCTTACAGGATAAGAAAACAGTGATATAATAGGCATAGAACCATGGTGATAAGGTGAAAAGAGCATCAGGAAGTTACATAAGAGGACACACATCAAGTCTTGAGGAGTGCTAAGACCTGAAGCTGTATCTCCTGAGCTACATTAGACATCCAGCATCCAGCTTGTGACAGTTCTCACAGAACAAAAAATTTATGTGCAAATGAAAAAATACACATTTACTGTATTCCTTTTACTGCAGGTTTCTCTGGAATGAGATGCTTTCTCAGACATACACAAGTCCTGTGTATGTGCCTTGAAGACTTAACAATCCAACTTACATCACAGAACACAACAAAGGAAAATATCTTGTTTATTTTTGGGAAAATATAAATAGAGTTTAAAAAAAAAGGAAAATAACATTATTGTAATGTGTCAACAGCTTGAGAATCGTACAGAATCATAGAATCACAGAATGGCTTGTGTTGGAAAGGACCTCAAAGATCACCCTGTTGCAACCCACCTGCCATGGGTACAGCATCACAGGGCCTCCTCTGTAAAGTTCACTACCTTTTGCTTACACATCAAATACTGTTTTCTAGGTAAGCTACTGATTTCTGCCTTTGGGAGCTGTGCTGGTATTTAGACCCATGTTCAAAGTGCCCGTTCAAGATTCAACTGCATCCACCCTGCAGGTAGGGGCAGATGTTCACCAAGATTTTCTCCTCCCATCCTTTAGCTTCTGCATCTACTGAGATAGTTCAGTCTTTACTGAACTCTGAGAAGGAACTGACATGAGGTTGGTATGGACATTCAGGAGGTTAAGTTCAAGTCCTAAACTAATAGGTCCCACAAAAGACTCCAGTCCTACAATTGCATAAGTATTTCACTTCAAACAATGCACACTGTCCTTTCAGCTGGCCTTGATCTGAGCTCTGACTCCTCATCAAAAGTTACAATAAAAGAGCAATCCAACTGCTTCCAACACTCCTAAGTTGAAAGAAGAAATGGCACTTGCTATAGCACATTCTTGACCTGAATATCCCCAAAGTTGCTGAACATTACAAAAGAAAACAAGCCCAACAGTTCAGGAGGATGCTTAGCTCTCTGAATCTAGACTGATCTGAAGCAGAAACACTGGGGCTCTTCAAGAGGTGGTGTTTGAGAAGTGAAAGCCTTTGCTCTCTTGCTGCAGCCAAGTTTACAAAGATGTTAAATGTCTCGAATTCCCTCACAGTGAACATGGAGCAAGGCCAAAGGAGATCATGTTAGAAGAGCACAAAAGGACTGGAAAATTGGAAGGACTGGAGTAGAAGTTGCAGTGGAAAAGACTGAACAACATCAAATCACCTAGGCAAGAATGAGAAAATCAAGCACACATGAGGGAGGCAGGTGAATGAGGAAAAAACACAGCTTATAAGGGATTTTACTTGCTGCATTGCTTAGAGATCTGCTTTAGAGGAACTCTGAAGGAAGCAAAGAGAAACTAAGTAGTACTTAACTATTACAACCATATTTAGACAAACGAGCTGGCTTGATTTTCACAGAATCACAAAATCACTATGACTGGAAAAGATCACTAAGATCAAGTACAACTGTCAACCCATCTCTCCATGCCCACTAAACCCTGTCCCTCAGTGCCACATCTCCATGTTTCCTGAACGTCTCCAGGGTCTGCAGAACTTCCCTGCGCAGTCTGTTCCAATGCATTACCACACATTCTGAGAATAACTTTTTCCTATAATACCCAACCTGAACTTCCTGTATTTTGAAGAATATTATGCACCTAGAATCACTCATTTAACTGTTTAAATGTTCTTTCATTCCTTAAAAAAAAGTGTGTGATCTCTGGAAATTGGAAACTAAAGAGCTAAAAAAATATTGGTGCTGCCTAACAAAAGTAATCCATTATTATTATCAATATCATCTAGTTTCAGACAAGGAGAATTATACAACGTGCTGAAGGAAGTGGGGTAACAGAAGAGGCAGAGGCACACAGAAAAAATGGGTCATATATAGTCAAGTGTATTTCAAACATATAAGCAGAAGATAACAACCTCTGACATGAACATCTTACTTTGTTTCACCTTGTGCTTCCCTGGGATCTGTTATCTACACAGAAAGAGTGTGTTATGGGAAGAAAATCATCATTTAAAATCAGTTTATAAATTCATTAACATTTTAAAAGACATATTTTAATAGGATTCAGATACTCTAGGGGTGTTTCATTCACCAATTATTATGTGCCTTGGACGCTAACTAATCTGGTTTCACTGCCAAAATGGACTCAAAAGAAAAAAGAAAAAAAAAAAAACAACCAAACAAAAACAAAATCAAAAGAACACCATGGGGTATTATAGGGCTATATTTATAGTGACATAGGGTGTCATCTCATCTGCATCAGTGGGCTAACTACATTATGAAGAGGCAGTTATACTGCCCAAGAACATGCAGGCTGGAAGGGCCCATACCTCTGAGACAAGGAAAACCTTATACTATCATAGAACCATAGAACTGTTTGAGTTGGAAGGAACTGTTCTAGTTCAACTCTCCTCAACTAACACAAGGATGCTGTGCCATGGATTCAAACGCACATGAATGGATGTATGAATCCATGCTTTCTTGTAAAGATACACATTACAGTGGAAGATACCAAATTTTCTAATGATCTAATGTTCCCCATTCTGTTCTGATGAAGGAGCAGAGGAACTAAGCAGTTCAATAAGCAGCTCTTCAGATTATGTTAGTACATGTAATACTATAGTTGCATCACAAAGATGCTTGGTCTTGGCTTCTGTCAACTTAACAGTCGCCCTCCCTCGCTCGTTCTAGTCTCTGTAAACAACCCCAAAATAATACAGATGGAGCAATGCAAGTGATGCTGCTCAGCCATCTCTTACAAAAGCAGGCTATTTATGTGTTTAAATAGATAATGGTCTAGACACAGATGTTTTTCTCCGAACAAAGTAGTGGCTTAAGTTAATTTCAGAGCTACTGAAGGCAATTATGTGATTTTGTATACTTAATATCCTTCGAGAAAACCCAACCACAACAGCTGAGTGAACGAATGAACTGTCAGACAAGGAAATGCAGAGGGGGGTCCAAAATTTCCATTCAGACACAAAAACAGCTCCATAATAACTTTAAATACAGTCACCAGGACCTGCTAGTGGGATATATACAGTGGTTTGCTGTGCTGACAAATGAAAACTGATTTTGTAGTTGTTGATGGTACAATGCCCTTCATTTCAGTGATAAACTGCACAAATCCTGGATTTGAAAGTGCAAAGAAATCTAATTATTTTTAATACTTCTGCTTGAAAACTGTGTATAACTGGGTTTATCAGGGGTTTTCTTTCCCTTTTCAGTTTTTCTGTCTCTGACAAAATCTTTTATTTATAGCAAAAAGAGATATGACAGAGGGCACTCATTGAGCTTCCACAGATAAAGTTCCTTTTGTCAATGCTCTGCAAGGGGCCATAACTCCCCGTATATGCATTTCCACATTAAATTTGATTTAGTGCCAAATTTTATGCCCTGTGAATCTCTGTGTAATTTTCTGTAGGATTTCCTTTCATAAATTGTTAATTGGATGTGTTTGAAGTTGCTCTTTTGTTGAAATTTGCCTGTGGCAGATTTTTGTCATGATGTATCTATAAAACAAACTCTGCCTTTGAAAAGAATGATAGGAGAGAAAAAGTTGAGTTTATCTGATATGCTCAGTGGTTCTTTTAAAGCTAAATTCTTAGGACTGAGGGTCGCACTTTGCTGTTATTCATCATATCTGAAAAATTATGCCCCAGCACAACATATTTTCTGTTGGATAATATCTTTTCACTGGGATAAAATCATTGCTGCTTACAACTACATTTTTTTATCAGATTTATTCTACAAATGGGAAGATGTTATATGCAGCTGGTGATAGAGGAAAGGAAAAAAAGGGGAAAAGGGCGTTATCTGGAAGGAGACAACTTCTGTAAGTATCTGTACTTCAGCAGTTGACAAATCCTTGCATGAGAAGATGCACATCTCTAAAGACAACCCCTTCCCAGCTCTGTGCCTACTTTACTCCCCATTTGTATATTGGAAGGGCGAAAAAGAGACACTAATACACAATTTCTTCTCTCTACACAGTGATATTAAGAGTTGTACAATCTCTGTCACATAAAACCACCAAGAAAGGGACTGAAATGACCTCTCTTCTGGTTCCCACAGGCTGTTTACTCCACCTAGAAGCAAAAATCTAACAGGAACTGCAACCTAACATGCCATCACCCAAAGGGCATGGTTCATCTTCGGAGAATTATGGAATCCCCTGCAGGTGTGTGCTGGAGACAATTCTGTCCTGTAGCTCTCTTCTACTTCTCTAATGATGCAATTTCTGTTTGCTCATTATAGGTTATTCCCTTACTAGAAATAAAAATAATCAAGTAAACGAGGCTTTTGGAAAGATATTAAAGATAATCACAGGGATGCAAGACACTCTCAATTGAAAGCTGTCTCATTTATTCTAGAATATAGAATCAGTGAATCACAGAATGGCTTCAGTGGGAAGGAACCTTAAAAGATCATCTAGTTTCAACCCCACTGCCATGGGCTGATTGCCACCCACCAGTCCATGCTGCCTAGGAATCCATCCAACCTGGCCTTGAACACCTCCAGACATCCAGCATCCACAGCTTCTCTGGACTGCCAGTGTCAGGGCCTTACCACCCTCTGAGTAAAGAATTTCTTCCTAATACCTAACCTAAATTCTCCTTGTTTTAATTTAAAGCCAATCTCCCTTGTTCTATCACTATTTGACTGCATATAAAGCCAGTCTCCCTCTTGCTTACAAGCTCCCTTCAAGTACTGGAAGGTTGCAATGAGGTCTCCCTGGAGCCTTCTCTTCTCCAAGCTAAACAAGCACTAACCCTAACACTCAACCTTTCAACATAGGAGAGGTGTTCCAG